CAATTCCTCCGCCGAGACCGAGCAGGCACCGACTGCCAACATTTCGTTGGTGCGCTCGGAAGGAGCCGCCGTTCGTGCTCCGAGGACCGAGAGGGGGCGGGCGATGGCGGCGGCGTGGGCCCGCGCGAAGCGCGCGCTCGCCACCAGCCTCTGCGTCAGCGTGCCCGCGCGCCAGAGGGCCATGGAGGACGCGGCGGTGGAGGTGCCGTCTTCGGTGGCTGAGGACAAGCAGGAGTCCGCCTCCGTGTCCGTGCGGCGGCTGACGAGCTTTGGGAGCCGGAGCTCGCAGCAGGTGGGGATTCATCTTCGTTTTTTTTTTCTTTCTTTTTTGCCTTTTGCTCCCCGTTCTTTTCCGATTCATGTGGCGTGCCGAATTGTGTGTGGAGAACCGGAGATGTGGAAGAAATGTCTGCTTTGGCGTTGGATTTCGTCCGGATTTTGGGAAAAAACGCCGTGTAAAATTCCGAGCAAAAAAGACGGCGGTTTTGGTTTGGTGCTGGTCAAAGATCCCCGTTGACTACTACTATTAACTTTGGAGGTTAATCAAATGGCACATGCTCCCTCGTTTTCATCTGATTCGTTAGTTCTAGGCGTTCCCACGGTTTAATATTGTAGAACCACCGCTCCGCTCCGGTTGTCTTATGAATTACAATTTAATCATTTATTTTTTTCTATATAGATATAGACTATATCAGTTTTGATTCTAAATTTATGACCGTTGGATAGTATATTTGCTTATAAATCTAACTATATCAGGTTTCTATAACAATGATTAAAAATTGTTAGTCAAATTATTAATCAAAGATATCTTGTTTACGTACGTGTGTGCCTTATAACTGGACCAGAGAGAGCAGCAGCGGGAGAAGATAACAAAGTCAAACTAAGCAGAATAAACTCGAGTTGCCGGACATCTCAATAATATAAAGCATAACGAATGGTGGTTCGTTTTACCACGCTGCATTCCTGTTTGGCTGATGGTTTCTGCGGCCGATAAATTGGCTGAAGCTGATTTGTTATGAGAGAAAAACACTGTTCTATGGCTGATAAGTTAGGCTGATAAGTTCATGCCAACAGGTTGTCTTGTGGTGTGGTACAATTTTTAAAACCATAGGCTAACATGTTTTTGTTGATTCACGTGCTATACGGCTGTAAGGGTTTTCCCTAGTTTTTTCCCTCAAAAACTCTTTTCTGGCTCATACTTTTTTACTGAAAGGGAAAGAGCTGTTTATTGGGCAGCTGCCTGCATCTTGTCTGTCCATGTGTTCTGCTTGGTTGGTGGGTGCAGTGCATCTTATTTGACCCGCAGCTGCTAGGAAAAGTGGAATTTGCAACTAGGATATTCTGACATGTCCTCGGTTTATAGAGCTTGCTGGATTTCATTGACTTGTAATTTCTAAAGAATAGTTTGCTTCTGATCCTTAATATAGAAACATGGAAATGAATTTTCATATTGTTACACATACTCATTGTTAATACTCTTACTTAATAATAATCAGTAGGGGTTTGCCCCTCCTGTTCTTTTTTTTAAAAAAAATATTGTTTATGCCAATCTAGTTGTCTTTATCTGCAAAGATGATAAATTAGCCTGCTTGTTCGATAGGAAAAAAGATGCTAAACTAGTCATATACCATTTTAATGCCTTTTAAGTTGGATGCATGTAACTATTCGTTGCGGTGCATATCTATTATCTACCTGTCTTTATTTATACTCGAATCTTTATGTCACAACCTTTTGATCAACCATGATAGCTAGCTGTTTGTTGAGCATACTACACTTGTAGGGCACGTTTTACTAGCAAGCAGGCATTCCTGTGGTGGCATCATGATGTGCAACTTGTGGTTCTCAAACTTGTGTTTCACAACCTTTTTAACTTGTTGGTGTAAAATCCATTTTCAGACTGTCTTTGCAGTTCCCACAGAGTTGTATCAAAATCTGCATTGCGCATGTGCTTTAGTGTCTTCATAAATTCCTGAAAGTGCCCTTTTAGATTTAAGTGCTGTGATGTGGTTATATATGCAGGAAAAACTTCACAAGTCATAGCGGAGTGTATGTTTTTTTTGTTAAGTTAGCAAGTTCTGATACTAGACGTGTGACCTTTCTTTAACTTTCTTGATTTCAGAAGACATGTGCCATTTGCCTTGGTGGCATGAGATCAGGACAGGGACATGCCTTGTTCACTGCTGAATGCTCCCACAAGTTCCATTTCCATTGCATCTCTTCAAATATCAAGCATGGCAACCTCATCTGCCCGATATGCCGTGCTGAGTGGAAAGAACTCCCAGGCGCTCAACCTGCAGATGCCAATTATGGAAGAGCTAGAGTAAACCCATTAAATTGGCCCCAGGATGAAGGGCACATGGCTGTTGTCCGCAGGCTTTCCCATACATACAGTGGAAACCTGCAGGAGCACCTCCCTTTCTTCCGTACTCTGGAGGCAGGCATTTTCAATGATGATGAGCACATAGATCTTCAGTCTGATATGATTGACGAACATAATGCAGTCACTGGTTCAGTTAAAATCAAGGCATATTCAGAATTTCCAGCTATTGAACAATCAGTGGCCAAGGAGCTCTTTGCTATCTTGATCCATCTCAGGGCTCCAAAATCTTCACAGTCAGTGAGCTCCCGTGCACCTCTTGACCTTGTCACTGTGCTTGATGTCAGCGGTAGCATGGCAGGGACCAAAATTGCACTTCTGAAGAATGCCATGAGCTTTGTCATCCAAACCCTTGGACCCAACGACCGCCTGTCTGTCATTGCTTTCTCATCTACAGCACGCAGACTCTTTCCTCTTCGGCGAATGACGTTAGCCGGTAGGCAGCAAGCCTTGCAAGCTGTCAGTTCCCTTGTTGCAAGTGGTGGCACAAACATTGCTGATGGGCTAAAGAAAGGTGCTAAAGTGATTGAGGACCGTCGGTTGAAGAATCCTGTTTGCAGCATCATTCTTCTCTCTGATGGTCAAGACACATATACTCTCCCTTCTGACAGGAATCTACTAGATTACAGTGCCCTTGTCCCACCTTCAATCCTTCCTGGAACAGGCCATCACGTCCAGATCCACACCTTTGGTTTCGGATCAGATCATGATTCTGCTGCCATGCATGCTATTGCTGAGATCTCCAGTGGCACATTTTCATTTATCAATGCTGAAGGCTCGATCCAAGATGGATTTGCTCAGTGTATTGGTGGCCTCCTGAGTGTTGTGGTTAAGGAGATGCAGTTGGGCATTGAGTGTGTTGACAATGGTGTGCTACTGATTTCCATCAAGTCTGGTGGGTATACAAGTCAAGTTGCTGAAAATGGAAGTGGTGGTTCAGTTGATATTGGTGACCTGTATGCAGATGAAGAGAGGGGGTTTCTGCTCACTCTACATGTCCCAGCTGCACAGGGACAGACTGTGCTGATCAAACCAAGCTGTATGTATCATGACGCTATCACTATGGAGAACATCGAAGTACATGGCGAGGAAGTAAGAATTCAGCGCCCTGAACATCATGTGGACTGCAAAATGTCTCCTGAGGTTGAGCGTGAGTGGCACCGTGTTCACGCCACAGAGGACATGTCTGCCGCACGGGCTGCAGCTGAGGTAGGTGCTTTCTCTCAGGCCGTGGCAATCCTCGAAGCCCGTAGGAGGATACTGGAGTCACAAGCAGCACAATCTTCAGACAACCAGTGCCTGGCATTGATGACAGAGCTGAGGGAGATGCAGGAGAGAGTGGAGAACCGGCGGAGGTACGAGGAATCAGGCAGGGCTTTCATGCTGGCCGGCCTGAGCTCACACTCATGGCAGAGAGCAACTGCACGTGGGGACTCAACAGAGATCACTACCACTATTCATACCTATCAGACGCCATCCATGGTTGACATGCTGCAGCGCTCTCAGATTCTCGTGCCACCCACTGCTGACATGCTGAACCGCTCCCCATCTGTGGCGCCTTCACAGAGGTCTCCACATAGGTTCAGCCGGTCATCCAGGTACAGGACAACAAAATCCTTCTCTGAGCAACTCCTGTGATGCATCCTGATCATGACGCAGGTCTAGCTATAACTGTCAAAATATTAGGTGAATGTAATATGTCCATTTTTTAGTTTGTTCCTACAGCTGATACTTCCATTTTCAGTATTCTATATCAGACATGGGCCTAGAAGTCCTGGGATATAAATTGGTTTGGTGTACATGGTAGAAATTTGGAAAGGATTTGTTCTGTACATAAACTTGCCCCTTGAATTCATGGTCAATAAGCACAAGCTAGCTTTGGGGGTGAAATAGTTTGGGTATATTTCTTCTGTGCCATATAAAACAGTCTAAATCTGATAGTCTCTTTTGAATCATGTTTCTTACGCCTGATTCGCTCGTTTAAAGGGCTACTGCAAATCAAGTTCAGTCTATGCAGATTCCCCGGCAGATGTTAACCAAAGTTTGATAAACTTTTAATTCTAGATATAGAATAGAACCTGAACTTGCAGTTCGTGCCTGCAGGTGCCGTTCAGCCGTTAGTAGACAGACTGTCCGTGTAAGCTAAGGGAACTCACTAAGAACGCAGATTCTGTCAAGATGTTGTACTGACAAGTTGCATATAACACCTTGACCTTCCCCATGCAATTTTGTCAAGTACTAGGAGTTAGGCACTCAGCAGTTGTTGTTGTAATCTTTCTTGACAAAGCTTGAGCCCGATAAACTGGTGCAGATAATAATAAATCCATGCTAAAACATGATCTTGATTCTTGAAACCAAAGTTACACATGAAGGTATTTCAACCTTGTAACAGGATAGCATAAACAGAGGGCCCTTTGATACAATGCCACTTGCTCATGGTTCATGGGTAAAAGAAAAAAACATGAAACATGATCAACTATTCTCATAGGAAAATTAGCATGTCTCTACTCTCTACTACCACTAGCAGTATCCTTGCCTTGCAGCAGCTGAAACCTGAAGAACCTCCTCTTCCACTTTCTTTTCTTTACACTGGCATACACACGCACACGTACGTACTAGCCGGCTAGTAGTCGCCTCCGCTGGAGCCGTCGCCGCATCCATCCCCGTCCACCAGCCTCCACAGGCTATCCCACAGCATCGCATCGTCGTCGGCCGGGAGCGCGCAGCATTGCTCCGGCACCAGCACCGGCGACACTGGGCTGCAGTAGCACTCCGCCGTGCTCTGCAGGCTGTCCATCATCGCCATCATGGCCTGGTGATCATCAGGGTCCGGCGGGCTCTGCTGCTCCAGCTGCTGTTGTTTCACCACCAGCTGCTGCTGGCTCTGCTGCTGGAGCAGCAGCTGCTGCTGCTGCTGCTGCTGCTGTTGCTGCTGCTGCTGCAAAAACTGCAGGCTCTGGAGGTACTGGCGGCGCTGCTCCTGCTGCTGCAGCTGGTACTGGTGCAGCAGCTGCGCCCGGGCGCGCCGCGACGGCCGGGCCTTCTTGAAGTGTGTCCGCCAGTAGTTCTTGATCTCGTTGTCCGTCCTCCCCGGCAGGCACCGCGCAATCGCCGACCATCTGCACGCACGCGTCACCACGACGACACGGTTCAGTTTTCCCTTCCCAAGGTTAGGCGCCGCCCACCAAGGAGCGCACACGATCGATGATGTGATGAAAAAGACCGATCAGCAGCAAGACAGCAACAGTGCCGGAGAGGAATCTAATCTGCTACAGTGTGCTCCGCACTCTAGGCTCTATCTAGTTCGCATGTACATGCATCTCACATCATTGTATTACTGACTGATGCATGTGTGTATTCATCAATCATCATTGTGTACGTCGTATGCGTACGTGTACGTATACCTGTTGCCGAGCATGGCGTGCAGCTGGAGGATGACGGTCTCCTCGTCGGGGGTGATCTTCCCCCGCTTGAGGTCCGGCCGGAGGTAGTTCACCCACCGCAGCCGGCAGCTCTTCCCGCACCGCCGCAGCCCTGTGCCATGGCCGATCGATCGTCAACAACAACGCCGGCGGCGAACACACACTCAAAACACACTTGCCATGCACCACACATATACAAAACAATACATACCTGTGAGCTTGGCGACGGAGTTCCAGCTGCCCTCGCCGTGCTGCTGCACGTACTCGGTGAGCAACCTGTCCTCCAGCGCCGTCCACGGGCCCTTCCTCCACCCCTCCTGCAGCATCAGGCTGCTGATCGCGTCCATGCCGCCGCCTTAGTTTGCCTAGCTAGCGCTGGCTAGCTATATCACTAGTAAGCTCTATCTATATATGATGACTCCAGCAGCTAATCTATTAGCTATCTCTATGGAGTGCTGGGCTCTCTGGTTCCCGGCTTGTATGACAGCTAGAATCTGGGCGGCCATGCTCGCCATTTATACGAGCTCGCAAGTTGGGGCTTGGGAGCTGCGGAGCGGAGGCGATGGACGTCACGTCGTTTTCGCGGGCAGGGAAGAGTAACAATTCCACTCCCACTTGGCTAAGCTTCCTCAGGATATTATTATCTCTGCCCCTGAAAAAGTGCTCACCCTACTAGAATGTTGTGTGGTGATGATGCAATGCGAGATGCAGCGATCGAGTGAGCTAGTCTTGCTGAAAAGCATCTTAGCGTGTTGCCTCGTCAGCTAGCTAGCTTATTATTCTATTGCAAAATTCCTGATCAATCATGCCTTCCGATCTTTTATTCTGAAAAAAAAAAAGTTCATCCCTTACGTGCGTGATGGTTATCTATCTATCAGGTTCATATCTATCTATCGTGTAATGAATGGTTCTTAGAATATTCACTAGAACTTTTGCCGTCGTGTACAAAAAACTGGCTCTATCGTATACCAAACTAAAACAAAGACTTAGTAAAGCTGTCTTTGCTGGGTGTTTTTTTTGTTGAGCACTCGTTAAACACTTTGTAGAGTGCTAAACCAAATCTCGGCAAATAATTTTCAAAAAATATAAACAAAAACCCGGCCGCCACCACCACGCCGCCGCGGCCGCCACCACGTCCCCCGCCGCCACGCCCGCCAGGTGATACTCGCATCATCTGAATAAAAAATACAACGATACCTGGTGATCTTCTCCGGATAGTTCCACAGCCTAAAAGGGACAGATCAAATCAAATCCTCCTATCCACGGGTCTCTGATCTAATCTGACACAGCAAGGAAAAAAAATCAAGATTACAAACTGGTAACATGCAGATTTGACGACGACAAATGCGAGAGGCAAAGGGCGCCGCCACCACAAAGAAGAGAAACGCCTCAATGCAAGATAAGGTGATTTGATTTAGGGCATGTTTGGTTTTCCAATAAGTCACCTACTTATAAGTTAAAAAGTGAAATAAGTGATTTATTTTGTCAACCATCATCAATGGAATCAACTGTCCCGGATCTGTTTTAAGCTGGTTCAAGGGATGAGTCACCCTTGATTGGAATAAAAGCAAATCGATCACAACAGGAAAGATTAGAACTCTTAATAAGTCTCAAAACAAAACTGGATTCAACAGTGCGATAGCAACCAGATCAATGGAATCAACTGTCCCGGATCTGCAATCTGCAAGGGCTTTGATTGAATAAACAAATCGATCACAACAGGAAAGATTAGAACCCAGCGGATTCAACGGTGTCACACGGTATCGCGGGCTACGACGCGACCCGACCAGCGACCGCGGGCCGACGCGACCCGCCCGGCGGAGACAACTGGGTTAAGTGATGGAACACAACTGGGTTTGGAAAAGTAGTAGTAGTAGTATATGCTGTGCGTGCAATTCAATGGAAAGTGGGCCCCTCAGAAGAAGGAAATGATCTGTCAGAGCGAGGCTGATCAATGCAAGGGAACATAGGGTAGTTAGTTTAATCGTTATGAGATTGCCTGTCCCTGTTGTGTTCCTGAATTCACCCGTTCGGCTTGCTCAAACTTGGCTGAAAAATACTATTCTAGCTGAAATATTGCAAGAGAAAAACTACTGTTTGATTGAAAAAGAAGTCGAACAAGTCGGATATGGGGCAAGCCGAACGGGTTATCCAGGTGCACGCATGCTAAATTTCTGGCAACCGGCATATTATGATTTTTTTTCTACGCGTGTGCCAGTGTCACTTTGCAATTAAGCAAGCTGATCGGTGTCCAAACACACTGCGAACGTCGTAGGAGTTGAAGACTGGGGAGTGAGCTACTACAGAAAGTCTGAAACTGAAGGGTCAAACTAAATGAAAAAAAGGCAAGTCGTCGCTACTCGCTAGGCATGAATATGATTGCAAGTGGAGTGGACGATCTCTCTTTTCCACCAACGTCGTAGGAGTTGAAGCGGTTAAAGTCATGGGCATGCATGATATTGGATGTTAATGTTTGCTACTAGTGGTAAATAACCATTTAGAGTCAACCGAAAATGGGTAATTACCAGCAACCGAAAGTGCCTAACCGCGTAGTTAGACTTCAGACATTCAGAGCTAGCTCAGCCTGTTCCAGAGTAGACTTCGGATCAAGAACAGCTCCAGCAGTAGTTAATTAAAGTCAATGAGCTCAGCCTGTTCCAGAGTAGACTTCGGATCAAGAGCTAGCTCAGCCTTTCGGCTTACCCCATATTCGGCTTGTTCGACTTCTTTTTTCAACCGAAATAGTGTTTTTCTCTCACAACAATTCAGCCAGAACCGTGTTTTTCAGTCAGTTTCAGCAAGCCGAACGGGGCCATATATGACACTCTAGTCCATACTGTGTGAAGAAGTAGGAGGTCCATCAACTGAAAAGGACCTGCTTGTTAACAGGGCTTGATTTTGTCAAGAAGCTGAACATCTCTGTAGTGTACAGTGTAGACCATTATCATCAGCCAAGCTCTCATGTCATTTACTTTATATAATGAGCCCTTATATAGTCTCGCAAAAAAGGAGAAGCTTCTCGTTTTTTGACCCCCCAAAAAGAATACAAAACTCTAGACAGCTTTAGTCAAACTGTATCATTTCAAGTTTGATAAAATTTATAGAAAAAGAGACATTTATTACTCTAAATAGGTATATTATAAGACGCTTTATGATCAGTAAAGCGGGAGAACCTCTGTTTCTAAAAAAAATATGTATATTATAAAAATATACTCAATAAGAAATTATTTGCTATCATAAAAAAATGCAATCTTTTTTCCGTATCAAGTTGATCAAATTTGAGATACTTTGACAGAGTACTATATATACTACAGTTGCATTCTTTTTGGAATGGGTGTAAGTATAAAAATTAAGTTTGTCTCACGATGAATTTTAATAATATCAACCTCATAATATCAATATATATATATTAGTTATTATCAATCTATATATCCTAGAGGTTGGGGCGAAAGCATAGACGACGACGTCTACAGACGCTCCGTTCTTGAAGGCATCCTCTTTCTATCTCTTCTCCTATCGTGCTAGAATTAGAGGTGAAAATCTTTCCTTGACAGGCTAGCATGTCGACGTTTTTGGCGTCGTTTCCTTCTTGGAGGCGTTGCTAGGTTTTCCACATCGGCTACACTCTTGCCGTCTTGTCATGGCGGTGCTCCAAGTTGTGCCGTTAGTGTTGCTCGGCAGCTCATCGTCTTTGTTGGTTGTGCTCGGTACTAGTTGGTTCAGATAGTTGTTTTGCTAGTTGGTTCTTGGTTAGAGTTGTTCTTAGTTGCTCTATTAGTGGTTAGCTAGTCGGGGAGTACAGTTGAGTTGCTAGTTAGGTCGTTTTTTCGACCAAGTTGGCTAAGGGTTGAGCAATTTGTAGGGTAAAGTCATTTGTTGTTTGGACGGTGTTCCAAAGTTGGTTAGAGTGAGTGGTGTACTCTTTCGGTTGGTGGTTTTTTGGCCCGGGTTTTCACTAAAAAAAACTGAGCTAACACTTGTATTTTTGTTTTCTCCGCCTATAAAAAATCATGGCAAAGTTTTTGCCGTGCCTTCTAAAAAAACTAAAAATAATTAGTAATAAATAGACTTACATATGAGGCAGAGGGATCGGAGTAAGCTAACCACTCTGATTTCTCTTACGTGTACCTAAGCTGATTCAAAGGTAAGTACATGCATGCTAGCCGCAAGCATCCAGCTGAAGTGCCACGTAGCGCAGGTTACAGCTAGTTCTCTGGAACATCATGTGCAGAAGATATGCAAGCAATCAGCAGTTAGCACATCCACCAATCCTTGTGATCCGGACCAAATCTATCGTGCATGCATGCACCCCCTTCTGCTAGCTGCTTGCTGCATGTGCAGGCCGGCCACAACTGCATCTCAAGATGATCAGATAGACGTACAGCGAAAAAGGGCGTCTCCCAGACAGTCGAATATGGCCTCGAAAAGGACCCGATTATTTAAACAGAGTGAGAAAGAGGGAGCTAGCAGCGCCGGCCGTGAGGCATGCATTCGCCTGACGAATATGGAGGCGGCAGTGGCTGCTGCAGTGCAGCTCTAGCTCCATTGTTGTTACTTGTTAGGCCACCGCTGGCGTTGGTGTCCAGCAAAACACGGCATCCGCTCGCTTGTTAGGCCACCGCTGGTGTTGTGCGCGTCCACATCCCCCGAAAGCATGCAGGAGCAGCAGGACGCGAACGCGAACTTGAAAGGGGACTTGCATGGACTGAGAATTGAACTCGATCGAAAGTGACTGGAAAGCGCGATGCTACTGCTGTTGTTTGACCGCACACCTGTCCGCGGCTCACAGGCCGGAGCCATGCCTAACTCCTTCCCGTGACCGATCGATCGATCGATTTATCTGGTGATGAGATGATCTTTGTTGTAGCTCGATCGCTACTGTCCTGTCCTGGCCTGATGCATGCTGCTGCTTTAATCTGTTTGTGCTCGAGTCAACCTGACTAGTGACTCCAGCGGCGTCAACCGTACCCTAGCTATCACCTCCAAGCTTTATAAGGTACCACACTAGCTAGCAATATAGCAACTTTAATCAGTTCCTTCGTCGGGCAAGGAGCGACAGCTAAAGTCAATTTTTTTTAATCCGATGTAGTACATGTACAATACGAATGTATATATGTACTAAAGTCTGAAAATGCTCTCTGTCTGATCTCCCGGCCATCTCTCTCCAAATGTAAAGAGCCAAGTGTAACCTCGACGTCGCTGTATGTATTAATTAATCTTCTGAATGAAGTGTCTAGATCGATATTCTTATTATCGAATAATGATAACAATAGGTTTAACTTACCAGAGTCGATCACTAGTACTTTTTCAATGACGTCGCTGGAGAACATCCATGCTGCATGAATCT